TAATACTCCGTATCAAGTAAAAAGTACATACAAACCCATTTGGTATAATGTCATGTGTAGATGCACACTATATAATTAATTTGAATTGAAAATGATTATTGAAAAAATCAAAATATCTCAATGATGGAGTATATGGCCCAGGAACCCCCGGCCCATACACTCCTACTTCTCCTACACAAGTCCATTAAGCCCAGGAAACAACTCAGGCCCAAATACAACGGCCCAAGCCTCGAAGTAGCTCGGAATACACACTGGGATGCCTTCGGCCTCCTTGGCCGAAGGCTCCAGAACTCACAGGATAGCCTTTTTGGCATAAGAAGCTGCTGGGCGAAAACGGGCGGAAACGTGAGCCTTCGGCATTGTCATGCCCTCGGCATCAGAGAAGCCTTCGGCTAAACCCAGCCTTCGGCCACATGAGGCCTTCGGCCACACAAGGGTCCTTGCCACATGGAACCCTCGGTTACATGGAGCCCTCGGCTGCACAAGGAGCCTTCGGCCAAACATGTTCAATCATCGAAGATTCCTTTTAGGGACAGCCAACCACCGCATTTAATACCACGTCACATCCGCCAACCGCATTCAATGCGGTGGACGTGCCACTGCCGGTGCCAGCCGGCTGATGTGACCCTTCGGCCGTTGGATTACTGACACGTGTCCTCTCATCGCATTTATTGCTGCTATAAATAACAGCCCATTTCTCCTTGTAAATCAGGATCTACATCCCAACTCCACACGCTGAGTTCATTTAATAAAATCGACTCTCTCTCCTCCTATTTGCTCTGACTTCTCTCTAAGTTATTTCCGCAATAACCCCTCGGATAAGATACCCCCCGGGTAGACCATCCATCATTTGGTGCTCTCGTTGAGAGGTCAGAACAATCAAGTAAGAAACCCTCCCCTTCTACCAAACACAGAACACTTACCAAAAATGGGAAGAACCACCCGTGCCCAATCCAAAACCCTGGAGGAGAACCACGTAGCCCCCGGCGAAACCAACGGGGCTGAGGCCTCCAACAGGCTCTTAGTGCCGGAGGGTGGTATCATCCTCGAATTAGAGCAGGCTACTGCTGACCTCCGTCAGCAGCTACAGAAGAATGCCCCTGATGCCCGCATTGGCCTTGATAATCGAAGGAGGGATCGGAGTGAGAACCGAGTTCCTCCTCCGGCCTCGGCCATCGATCTTCAGGCTGCCTTTGCGGCCTTTGTTCAAAACATGGCTCTCAATTCTGGAGCCCTCGCCTCTCAGGCACCCCTCCAGCCCTACGCTGGAGGGAATGTTATTCAATTACCACCGCTCCCTCCTCTGTTCAACAATCCTCCCCCGGGGATTGGAAACGCCGAAGGGGTCATGGGGCAGGATACCGCCTCCCAAGAGGCCCAATCCAGAGATAAACGTCCCTTGATGAAGGAGAAACCCCGGACCTCTGCACTTGAGAGGCTTGGGGGAGCTCCCGGACGCCGAGGGGTCCAAGACCGCCTCGGCAAACAGGAATTCAGCAGGCCTCAGGAGAGTGGAGCCTCCGCTTCGGGAGCCGAGGGCATGCCTCCCCCCCGAAGCAAAGGCAAAGCCCTCCTCCATGCCAATGATGCCAGGCACCAAATCACACAGGCGCAATCCTTCCGGGCCAACTCCCAAGGGGTTGCCCCGAAGGATCCCAAGGACGAAATCATTGAAGCCCTCCTCCGTCAACTCGAGGAGAATCGTCAGGCACCCCCGACGGCTTCCACATCGAGGCCAGATCCAGAGTACGCTGACCTCCGGGCGCAAGTGGAGGAAATGAAGCGTAAGCTCGCCGAAGGCTCAGGCGAGCCCCTCATTCAACTCCGCACTAGAACACCCTTCACCCCAAGGGTGTTGGCGGCCAAAATCCCCCACAAATATCGGGGGCAACCCATCAAGCCGTATGAGGGGAAGACGGATCCCCAAGAGCACTATAGTCGTTATCAGAACAGCATGATGATGATGGGGGCATCGGATGAATACTTATGTCGTTGGTTCCTTTCCACCTTGGAGGGACCGGCGTATGAGTGGTTCAACCGATTGCCCGAAGGCAGCATTGATTCTTGGCAAGAGCTTGCCCACCGCTTCCTTACGCAGTTTGCAGGGAGGCACCGCTCGAAGAAACACTTTTCCCACCTTCTAAACGTGAGACAACAGAAGGAGGAAACCCTTCGGAGTTTCCTGGAACGCTGGAGGCAGGCCTCCCTCGAGGTCGAAGGCGCTCATGACAGGACACTAATGGCCCTCTTCCACACCGTCCTCCGCAACGGTAACTTCTCTCGGAGCCTTATCACTGATCCCCCCCGCGATTATACAAAGGCCCTTCAGCAGGGGGACCGATATGCCGAAGCAGAAGAGATCGAGAAGGACCGCCGCAACACGGATCCTTCTCAGAAGAATGAAGGCAGGAATCGGCCCGGAGGACCTCCTCCTCCGGCCAACCGCGAGGCTCAATATAATGATCGCCCCCGAGGTGGCCAAGCCAGAACCGGGGGCGGTTACAAAAACAACCCGAAGGCATGGGCGCAACCCGTCCTCCTTGAGCACCCACGCACTCCCTTGACGCATCCCGTCAGCGTCATTCTTGATCATGCAGAAGAGCGGGGGCTCGTCGAGCGAGATTCCCGTACACCCCTCGAGATCTACACCATCGGCCCTGATGAGCCATATTGCCGCTTTCACCGCCACCATGGGCACAAAACCGACGACTGCCACCAGCTGAAAAACGCAATTGAGAGGCTGATACAGGCGGGCCACTTATCTCAGTTTATCAGGGGCCCTCCTCCCCAGGGCCCCCCTCATCATCAAGGGCCTCCGCCGAAGGCAAACAAATGGGTGAACCCCAACACCATCCCCTTGGGGAACCCACAGGGGAAGAAACGTGAAATTGGGGGCCTCGAAGATGAGGGAGAAGGCTCCCATCAACAATACAAGCGCCACGTCCACATGATTAATGGTGGCAACACTGGTGGAGACTCCACCAGCCAGCGAAAGAAGTGGGCTCAATCCCTTTACGTTGGGGAAGTCAATCACGTGCCCCCAACTAAAAGGCCGAGGGCGGATCCAATCTTCTTCACAGATGCGGACCTCCCCTCGGGTTCTCTGCCACATAGGGATGCCCTCGTCATCCGCACTGAGATCAATGATGCCATCATCCACCGGACTTACGTCGACACGGGGAGTTCTGTCAACGTCATGTACCTCAGCACTTTTCAAGAGTTGGGACTCGACAGGGGGTCCCTTCGGCACATCAACACCCCCCTCTCCGGATTTACGGGGGATAGCATAGACGCCGAGGGCGTCATCACACTCATGGTCGAATTCGGCGACGGATCCCATAGAGCCAAGCTCGAAGTGGAGTTCGTCGTCGTCAACCTCGACTGCGCTCACAACATCATCCTCGGTCGGCCTGCCCTCGAGGACTTGGAAGCCGTCATCTCCATGAGACACCTCTGCCTCAAGTTCCCCACACCCACCGGCATCGGCTATTCGAGGGGGAACCAGAAACTCTCCAGGGCCTGCTACCTTCAACTTACCAAGAAGGTTAGTAAAACAGAGTTTCGTGTTGACACCATCACCACCAAGGCCTTGGAGGAGGAAGAAGGTAGGCCGAGGGCTGAGCCTGCCGAGGAAACCGAAGACTTGACACTCGATCCGGCCAAGCCATAGAGAGTCCTGAAGATTGGAGCCAAGCTCCCCGAAGACTTGAAGGCTAGCATCACCGAAGCCCTCCGCGCCTACTCCATTGTTTTTGCATGGGGGCCGGAGGACATGCCAGGAATTGACCGGAGGGTTATCACCCACCGCCTAGCGGTGGACCCTTCGGCCAAACCAGTGCAACAGCGAAGAAGACCTCTCTCGGCCGAGAGAAGGGAGTTCGTGAAGGAGGAGGTATCTATGCTCCTCTCCATCAAACACATTAAGGAGGTGAAATACCCTTCTTGGTTAGCGAACGTAGTCCTCGCACAGAAGCCTCCTACCTTCTGTATGTGCGTGGACTACACAGATCTGAATAAGGCATGCCCCATGGACCCCTTCCCGCTGCCAAACATTGATCAATTAGTAGATGTGTGACACCGCACCCGAACGTCCTTGAAAAACTCAATATAAAAAAAAAAAAAAATTAATTTCTATGTATTGAATTTTCGATTTCCAAACAATTGTAAAACAATTAATGTTTTACGTAGCGCATGATTGATTTTTGTATTGTTCAAACTCGTATGTTAGTGTCGGGTTTGCAAATACTTATTTGGGCCTTATTAATGAACATAGGAGCCCAACATTATCTAAATAATGTTACATAATCTTTCAAAACAATTTGAGGAAGGTCGGGCGGCCAAACATTATTTTGGGCCCAACCTGCTAAAAATAGCAAGTATTCAAGGATGGCATCGTAGGCCCACTCGGGGGTGACCCACACGGCTAGTAGTCCAATATATGAATGACAATGTCAAAATAAGTGATAGTATGATTAGAGAAGAATACAAATGCCTATGGTCCCATCTTCGACATTTTTGAGCTAAATAATGGGAGTATGATTTTCCTTCTATAATATTCAACATGTAAGTTATTGGGATGATCCTACACATGTTGGGAATCAATAATATGATTTATGAAGTTGACTTGGCCTACATAAATTATAAGGAGTACAAAAAGACATCTCATGACAAGGATAAAACAATAGGGTCCATCTTTTCATTTTGGAAGTATTGGTAGGTATTTTGGACCCCAAATTGAATGGGATCATTTGGGAACCATCCCACATGACCTTGGTACCTGCAAGACAAAGAAAAATGGGTGAGACAACTATGTGGGGCGGACATTTGACTTGAGAGCTACAACATTACAAAAAAGAAATAAAAGAGGAGGTCCACACCATGTTTAATTGCAATCAAACACCCTACCCTTTCTTTTTGTGAACCACATGCTTAGATATCATTTTGAGAGCTCCTAAACACCTCCCCCTCACCCCCCATTCGAACTGAAAGGGATAAGAAAGAAGGGAGAGCCTCACACTCAAAAGAGAAAGAGATAAGGGAGCTGGCCGCAGGGTTAATCTCCAGTTCGTGGAGCTCACTGTTTGGTTCGTATCTTGAGAAATACTCATCCAAAAGGGGCGTGTGAGGTGTCCACTGAAAGCTCTCAAGAAGAGGAATCCATAGACATGCGGTTTGAAGGAAACGGAGCAGTTTAAGGCCTCCAAATCGTCCGAACAAAACGCAACCTTGCAGAATACGTTTTTGTATTCAAAGTAAGTTTGAATCCAAAACCTTCCTCTCTATTGTCTAAATCGTATGAATGATTTAAGAGCTATTATAAACTGGTTGAATGGTATAAGATGCTATTATATAGTGACTTTAATTGTTGGAAATGTTAGATACTAACCTAGACAAAACCTTGAAAGGTTAGGGGACGAATTTGTCGGAAAAACACCCGTTCTAGGGACTGTTTTCGTGTCTTCGGTTAGGAGTTGAGCAAGCACCTCGAGGAGGCTGTTTAACACTCATTTTTAAGCAAGGAATCAGTTCTCAAACTTCCTTGGCCGAGGCTTTGGTCATTGGATCAAGAAGGAATAGTTTAAAGCTCATTTGAGGTGAGGATCGACATCTAATTGCTTACAACTTGTAGGTTAAGCATGAGATTACCTAAATGCCTAAATCATAATTTTTCATGGATTATGATGATTAAATATTGATGAAATATTGATATAGTTCCCAAAGAATGAAATTGGAAATGATTTGAGGATGTATGTATAATAGGAGAGATTAAATGAGTTATAAATGAACTATTTTGCGAAATAGGAATTTTACTCATGTATTAAATATGTGGATACATAAATGGATATTATGTATTGAAGTTGAATATTTAAGTTGATGCTACATACTTATAAATATGTAGAGAATTACAAATGAAGATATTTGTATAATGACAATAATCTTAATAGTATTGAAAATACTAGTTAGTGATTATTTGAAATTGTTGATAGAATTGATCCTAAGTATTGGATTGTATGGAATGAACTTGAATGTACTTCAAGTGTATAAAACGACTTAGTATGAAACTAAGGGCAAGTTATGGGCGGTCATTGAGAATGACCCAAGGTAGATTATTGAGATGTCAATTCTAGGCATAGAGTTGCTTAGGAATTGGACTATAATGAAGAATTAGAGCCGGACTCTAAGATTACATGGAAACGTAGTTGGGCCGTGCCCTTGCCATGTAATTGTGATTTGCATGGAAATGTAGTTGGTCCGAGACCTTGCCATGTAAATTGTGATTTGCATAGAAATGTAGTTGGTCCGAGACCTTGCTATGCAAATGTGATAGGATGTAATTGTGATTTGCATGGAAATGTAGTTGGTCCGAGACCTTGCCATGTAAATTGTGATTTGCATAGAAATGTAGTTGGTCCGAGACCTTGCTATGCAAATGTGGTAGGATGCAAATGTAATATAACGAACTTGACATAAAGGATTGCATAGAAATGTAGTTGGGCCGAGCCCTTGCTATGCAATGGTAATGTAATGAACTCTATGAATTGTCGTGGCTCATAGTCACGGAGAATGGGAATGGTGATTTCTAAATGAACATGGGCCCACGGGCCGACTACTTAACTTTTATATAAAGTAAGTATATTTTCAAACGAGGTAACTTGGGGTTACCACTATATTGTATTATCACCCTATTTGAGGGTCTTGTGTTTGAAATACTTGTTGTATATCCCTTAGATGCCATCCACACCAGCACTTTATAGCCCTATAGAGTGCTGACCCCTTCGGGGGCGTCCCACCACCATTTTTCAGGTTGAGGCTAGAGCTTGCTTCCTGTGCCCGTTGCTCGGGTGATCCTTTGGAGAGAAGACGTGGTTCGTGCTTTCTCCATTCCGTTTTGAACAATATTAAACATGCTCATGGATATTTTACTTTAGAGCCTGCGTGCTCATGAATAGCCCTGTGTGGCCCTTTTGTTTTAAACAATGTTTTCCGCTGCGTTATGAATTACTTATTATGTTTGTTTATGGATGTTATATGTGTGAATGATATTCAAGACGCCTTGTATAATATGAATGTGTTGGACTGCGGTTGACTATTCGTATTGTACGGCGGGTTGTTGACGTGTCCGGGGAGGTCCGGGGCGTGACAATTAAGTTGGTATCAGAGCCTTAGTCCATAAACTTCATAATGAAGTCTCAAAATTCTCTTTTTGAAAAGATTTTGAAAACCATGAGCATAGAAGTTTTGTACTTGGAGAGCTTTTGGTACTTGGGTTGCAAGGTCTCTAATTGTTAAGATGGTACCCTTAGCAATTGGTATGGCGGTGACTCGAGCCAAAATGTGTCTTAAGTACCTATCCGTCAATTGACATTTGATACGAGTCTAACGACTCTTTCCAAAATTTCTTTCAGAAATGGACGGTGGTGGCAGGGTTACGAGAAAGAACCTGATGGGCCGTGCACCGGTAGCGACCGGGCAGGGAAGCCGTGGGGCCTCTAGAGTATCTAGAGGGGCGAGCCGTGGAGGCCGATCGCACACTGTGAGCGGCGGTCATGTGGACACCGAGGATGAAACCTATTGGTCCTATGAGGACTCGACTTACCAACCGGAAACCGAGCCGGTTGAGACCCCTTACGAAGGGGATGACGATGATGTAAGTGATGACGAGGAGGAAAATAACTCCTTAGCACGAATCGAAGCGTTACTCCAACAGTATCACCGTGAGCGTGAGGAAAGGAGGGAACGCCGAAGGCGCCGAGCTGGTCAACCTTCGGGTGGGGCTTCTGGAGTGAGAAGCCATGCCGACTCTAGGACCCACATCGAACCACATGGGGGCCGAGGTGATGGGGGTCCAACCATAAGGATCTCCAAGTACATTAAGGAGGCAAGGGACTTGGGGTGCAAACCGTTCGATGGGACGGGAGACATCTCGATTGCCGCTCAATGGATCAAGAGGTTGAATGAGGCAGCTCTTGACATGCAACTCACCCCCGAATTTAAACTAAGGGTGGCGGTGAGACTGCTCGAAGGGATGGCATCCACATGGTGGGACGGAGCCAAGGGAAAGTATGGCAATACCGTGACTTGGGAGAATTTCCGACAGGAGTTCTTTGCCCAGTACTATTCTGATTTTGAGGTGAACGTCAAGAGGAGAGAGTATACCCTCCTGACCCAAGGTGGCAAAATGACGGTGAGGCAACTTGAACACAAATTCAGGGGGCTCGCGGAGTTCATACCGGAGTATGTTTGTGACGAGAACCGGATGGTAAATCACTTCTGGGATGCCTTGGACTTGGAGGTACGTGAGAGGGCAACACAGTTGCCTAACATGACCTTTAGCCAAGTGGTCGAGCAAGGGTTGAAAGGGGAGAAACAATGGGAGGAGAGGAAGAGGAGAGATGCCGAAGAGGCGAAAAAGAGAAAGGGGGAGAGTCATGGCCCTCAAGGTTCCAATAAAAAGGGAAACCATGGAGGAGGACCTTTCCGAACACCACCGCCCCCACCTAGGGGGAACCAAGGCCCGAATGGACAAGGATCACGGACCTCGGGGGTAGCTCGGTGTAATAATTGCAAAAGGAGCCACTTTGGTAAGTGTCGTGACCCTCCTAGATGCTTCCAATGTGGGGATGCCGGGCATTTGAAGATGAATTGCCCACAATTGGGTGGGGCAAGGTCATCGGGACCAAGTAGCGGGGCTACGGGAAGTAGAAACCAAGCCGGGGGTTCCCAAGTAACCAGGGGGCAAGGGGGAGCAAGCGCGAGTAACGCGCCGTCCGTGAATCAAGGAAGGACGCAAGCTAGAGTCTACGCAATGACCGAGGCTGATGCTCGGGCTAATCCCGACTCCGTCGCAGGTAATACACTTGTTCGGGTCATTTCTAGGCTTATTTTGATCATATACGTCGTTGGGATTAAGTACGGGCCACCCCGGGGTCAAACTGGGTGAGTTAGGCCGAATCGGGCTGGAAACAGCCACTGCTGGCCAGGCACGCCCGAAGGCACGCCGTGCCTGGAATCGTGCCTGGAAGGCAGTGGCACCCGAAGAGAAGAAAAAAAAAAAAAGAAAAAAAAAATTTTTTGGGCCAGGCACGGCCTCAGGCACGCCGTGCCTGGCGTCGTGCCTGGGAGGCAGTAGCGCCCAGGGCTTTTTCCCAAGCCAGGCACGACCGTGCCTACCCCAGGCACGCCGTGCCTGGCACCCAGAATGCCGAAACCCGATTTTTTCGCACCGTTTTGCGACATTAAGACCTTTTCTTGATCCCTAACACATGTGTGAACATAATAAACCTCTCTAAATGTGTAAGAATGGTAGGAAAGGTATCTTACATGACTTATAAATGTAGGAACACTAAAGATTAATGGGAAGGATGCGCGAATCCTTATCGATACCGGGGCGCAACGTTCATTTGTGAATGAAGCGTTCGCCAAGAGGTTGGGAGTGCAATCCGCACCATTGATGCAAACCTTAGTGGTGTCAACACCACTAGGAGATGACGTGGAAAGAACTTGTTATTATCCATCTTGTGGGGTGGAGGTTAATGGTCAAACCTTGACGTGTGACTTCGTACCGCTGGGCATGATTGAATTCGATGCAATCCTAGGGATGGATTGGCTAGAAAGGAACCATGCTAGGGTAGATTGCTACACGAAGGTTCTTGAACTCGAAGGCAACGATGGGGAGACCCTACGCTTCGAGGGCGATCGAGGGAGATCAAATAGCTGTATCATATCCGCCGTGAGAGCGAGAAGTATGATGAGAAAGGGATGTCACGCATATCTAGCATACGTGGTTGACAAAACCAAAGAAGAAACGAACATCGATAATGTGAGGGTGGTTTGTAAGTATCCGGATGTCTTCCCTAAAGACCTACCGGGGCTTCCACCTGATAGAGAGATTGAATTTGTGATCGAGGTCGAGCCTCGTACCAAACCAATCTCCATTGAATTCCTTGTTATGTCGTTAAGGTTAACAAACGCCCCGGCGGCATTCATGGACTTGATGAACCGAGTATTTCATAAGTACCAAGACCGATTCGTGATTGTGTTCATAGATGACATCTTGATTTACTCAAAGAGTGAGGAAGAACATGAAGAGCACTTGATACTCGTTCTTGAGACACTACGAAAGAACCAACTCTATGCCAAATTTTCTAAGTGTGAATTTGGCTAAAGGAGATTGGCTTCCTCGGGCACGTGGTTTCAGGATCGGGAATTGCAGTTGATAACAAGAAGATAGAAGCCATTACCGAATGGGAGAGGCCAAAGAACGTCAAGGAAATTCGTAGTTTCCTTGGATTGGCAGGCTACTACAGAAAGTTTGTGGAGAAGTCCTCTGTTCTGGCATCATCATTGACGAAGCTCACTCGTAAAGGAGCTAAGTTCGTGTGGGATGACAAATGTGAGAAGGGGTTCTTAGAAATGAAGAAGAGGTTAACCGAGGCACCAGTACTTGCACTACCCAAACAGGGTATGGGGCACGATGTCTATAGTGATGCGAGCATCCAAGGGGTTGGATGTGTGTTGATGCGGATGGGAGGGGTAATTGCCTATGCTTCACGACAGTTGAAGAGGCATGAGGTAAACTACCCTACTCATGATTTAGAGCTGGGAGCAGTGGTGTTTGCATTGAAGATATGGGGACACTATCTCTACGGGGAGACGTGTCACATACACACTGATAATAAGAGCTTGAAGTGTGTATTTACTCATAAAGAGTTAAACATGAGACAGAGACGGTGGATGGAGTTGATAAAGGACTACCATCTAGTTATTGAGTACCATCCAGGTAAGGAAAACGTTGTAGCAAATACCCTCAGTCAGAAGAGTTCGTCTGGGGCATTGCTGACTAGTTTGAGGGCATTGAGAGCCCAATTGGATGTATATCCGCCTGTAGAGGAACGTGAGGATGTGAACTACGTTGTGCAACCGATTAAGGTCATTGATAGAAAGGTGAAGAAACTGCGGAGTAAAGAAGTCCCAATGGTTAAAGTCCTTTGGAAGAGCGATCGTGTCGAAGAAGGGACATGGGAAATAGAGGCTTTGATGAGGGAGTAGTATGCTTCCCTATTTGAGTAGAGTTGCGAATTTCGGGGACGAAATTCCTGTTAAGGGGGGGTGAACTTGTGACACCGCACCCGAACGTCCTTGAAAAACTCAATATAAAAAAAAAAAAAAAATTAATTTCTATGTATTGAATTTTCGATTTCCAAACAATTGTAAAACAATTAATGTTTTACGTAGCGCATGATTGATTTTTGTATTGTTCAAACTCGTATGTTAGTGTCGGGTTTGCAAATACTTATTTGGGCCTTATTAATGAACATAGGAGCCCAACATTATCTAAATAATGTTACATAATCTTTCAAAACAATTTGAGGAAGGTCGGGCGGCCAAACATTATTTTGGGCCCAACCTGCTAAAAATAGCAAGTATTCAAGGATGGCATCGTAGGCCCACTCGGGGGTGACCCACACGGCTAGTAGTCCAATATATGAATGACAATGTCAAAATAAGTGATAGTATGATTAGAGAAGAATACAAATGCCTATGGTCCCATCTTCGACATTTTTGAGCTAAATAATGGGAGTATGATTTTCCTTCTATAATATTCAACATGTAAGTTATTGGGATGATCCTACACATGTTGGGAATCAATAATATGATTTATGAAGTTGACTTGGCCTACATAAATTATAAGGAGTACAAAAAGACATCTCATGACAAGGATAAAACAATAGGGTCCATCTTTTCATTTTGGAAGTATTGGTAGGTATTTTGGACCCCAAATTGAATGGGATCATTTGGGAACCATCCCACATGACCTTGGTACCTGCAAGACAAAGAAAAATGGGTGAGACAACTATGTGGGGCGGACATTTGACTTGAGAGCTACAACATTACAAAAAAGAAATAAAAGAGGAGGTCCACACCATGTTTAATTGCAATCAAACACCCTACCCTTTCTTTTTGTGAACCACATGCTTAGATATCATTTTGAGAGCTCCTAAACACCTCCCCCTCACCCCCCATTCGAACTGAAAGGGATAAGAAAGAAGGGAGAGCCTCACACTCAAAAGAGAAAGAGATAAGGGAGCTGGCCGCAGGGTTAATCTCCAGTTCGTGGAGCTCACTGTTTGGTTCGTATCTTGAGAAATACTCATCCAAAAGGGGCGTGTGAGGTGTCCACTGAAAGCTCTCAAGAAGAGGAATCCATAGACATGCGGTTTGAAGGAAACGGAGCAGTTTAAGGCCTCCAAATCGTCCGAACAAAACGCAACCTTGCAGAATACGTTTTTGTATTCAAAGTAAGTTTGAATCCAAAACCTTCCTCTCTATTGTCTAAATCGTATGAATGATTTAAGAGCTATTATAAACTGGTTGAATGGTATAAGATGCTATTATATAGTGACTTTAATTGTTGGAAATGTTAGATACTAACCTAGACAAAACCTTGAAAGGTTAGGGGACGAATTTGTCGGAAAAACACCCGTTCTAGGGACTGTTTTCGTGTCTTCGGTTAGGAGTTGAGCAAGCACCTCGAGGAGGCTGTTTAACACTCATTTTTAAGCAAGGAATCAGTTCTCAAACTTCCTTGGCCGAGGCTTTGGTCATTGGATCAAGAAGGAATAGTTTAAAGCTCATTTGAGGTGAGGATCGACATCTAATTGCTTACAACTTGTAGGTTAAGCATGAGATTACCTAAATGCCTAAATCATAATTTTTCATGGATTATGATGATTAAATATTGATGAAATATTGATATAGTTCCCAAAGAATGAAATTGGAAATGATTTGAGGATGTATGTATAATAGGAGAGATTAAATGAGTTATAAATGAACTATTTTGCGAAATAGGAATTTTACTCATGTATTAAATATGTGGATACATAAATGGATATTATGTATTGAAGTTGAATATTTAAGTTGATGCTACATACTTATAAATATGTAGAGAATTACAAATGAAGATATTTGTATAATGACAATAATCTTAATAGTATTGAAAATACTAGTTAGTGATTATTTGAAATTGTTGATAGAATTGATCCTAAGTATTGGATTGTATGGAATGAACTTGAATGTACTTCAAGTGTATAAAACGACTTAGTATGAAACTAAGGGCAAGTTATGGGCGGTCATTGAGAATGACCCAAGGTAGATTATTGAGATGTCAATTCTAGGCATAGAGTTGCTTAGGAATTGGACTATAATGAAGAATTAGAGCCGGACTCTAAGATTACATGGAAACGTAGTTGGGCCGTGCCCTTGCCATGTAATTGTGATTTGCATGGAAATGTAGTTGGTCCGAGACCTTGCCATGTAAATTGTGATTTGCATAGAAATGTAGTTGGTCCGAGACCTTGCTATGCAAATGTGATAGGATGTAATTGTGATTTGCATGGAAATGTAGTTGGTCCGAGACCTTGCCATGTAAATTGTGATTTGCATAGAAATGTAGTTGGTCCGAGACCTTGCTATGCAAATGTGGTAGGATGCAAATGTAATATAACGAACTTGACATAAAGGATTGCATAGAAATGTAGTTGGGCCGAGCCCTTGCTATGCAATGGTAATGTAATGAACTCTATGAATTGTCGTGGCTCATAGTCACGGAGAATGGGAATGGTGATTTCTAAATGAACATGGGCCCACGGGCCGACTACTTAACTTTTATATAAAGTAAGTATATTTTCAAACGAGGTAACTTGGGGTTACCACTATATTGTATTATCACCCTATTTGAGGGTCTTGTGTTTGAAATACTTGTTGTATATCCCTTAGATGCCATCCACACCAGCACTTTATAGCCCTATAGAGTGCTGACCCCTTCGGGGGCGTCCCACCACCATTTTTCAGGTTGAGGCTAGAGCTTGCTTCCTGTGCCCGTTGCTCGGGTGATCCTTTGGAGAGAAGACGTGGTTCGTGCTTTCTCCATTCCGTTTTGAACAATATTAAACATGCTCATGGATATTTTACTTTAGAGCCTGCGTGCTCATGAATAGCCCTGTGTGGCCCTTTTGTTTTAAACAATGTTTTCCGCTGCGTTATGAATTACTTATTATGTTTGTTTATGGATGTTATATGTGTGAATGATATTCAAGACGCCTTGTATAATATGAATGTGTTGGACTGCGGTTGACTATTCGTATTGTACGGCGGGTTGTTGACGTGTCCGGGGAGGTCCGGGGCGTGACAAGATGAGACCGCGGGATGTGAGATCATGTCATTCCTCGACGCATTCCGCGGATATCATCAAATCTACATGCATGAGGAGGACGCTGAAAAAACTGCCTTCATGACACCCGAAGGCATCTTCTGCTATCTTGTGATGGCCTTCGGTCTAAAAAATTCAGGCGCCACCTACACGCGCATGGTGGCTAGGGTTTTTCAAGCTGTCCTAGGACGCACCATGGAGGCTTATGTTGACGATATGATTGTCAAGAGCAAGAAGGCCGGCACTCACGCCGAGGACCTCCAGGAAATCTTCGTCATCATGCAAAAATTCAACCTTCGGTTGAACCCAAAAAAATGCACCTTCGGCGTACAAGGTTGAAAATTCTTGGGCTACATGGTAAGCCGAAGGGGTATAGAGGCCAACCCCGAGAAAATCCAGGCCATCATCAATATGGAGCCTCCACGCAACGTCAAAGAAGTTCAACGGCTGACGGGTATTAGCCCTGCAGCTATCAGCTCAGTACTAATCCGAGAGGAAGACGGCATCCAACATGCCATCTTCTACGTCAGCAAAACCCTCCGGGAGGCCGAACTCAGGTATTCTCCCGTTGAGAAGACGGTGCTAGCCATTGTGTGGACCGTCAAGAAGCTTGGCCACTACTTTCAAGCTCATCCAGTTCAAGTGCTCACTCATCAACCCCTCGGCGCCCTCATGAGGAGTCCCACTAGCTCCTCCCGGATGGTAAAATGGGCCATCTTCCTCAGCCAATACAACATAGACATCCGTCCGAGGCCTGCCATTAAGGGCCAAACCCTGGCAGACTTCGTAACGGAATGCACCGCGAGATCAGCAACTGACGGGGAGCCTTCGGCACCCCTCGATGAATGGTGGACACTCTATACCGACAGCTCCTCGGCCACCAGAGCATGCGGAGGGGGCGTGGTCCTCATTACACCCGAGGGCTTCCGCGCCTATTATGCCATCCGCTTCTCCTTCAAAGTCTCCAACAACGAGGCCGAGTACGAAGCCCTCCTATGTGGCCTTCGGATGGAAGCAAATCTGAAGGCTAAAATGATCCACGTCAAATGTGACTCCAAACTCGTCGTGGGTCAAATTTCCGGGGAGTACGAAGCCAAGGAAGGGAGGATGAAATAATACAAGGAGGCTGCCAAGGAGTTGCTTGAGGTATTTGAGGCACATTCTCTCACCCAAATACCGAGGGCTCAAAACTCTGAGGCCGACATTCTATCCAAGCTCTCGGATGAATCCCCCGAGCACCTCTCAAAAATTGCAAGAATCGAGGAGCTCAGCCTCTCAAGCATCCACGCAAGCCCCATTATGAATATTAACCTGAGACCGGAGGATTGGATCTCCGACATCATCACCTTCATCACCACAGGGCAATTGCCCCAAAACGAAGCCCGTGCCAAGTTAGCAAAGCTGAGGGCTCCCAGCTACACCATCGAAAACGGGAGGCTTTACAAGAGATCTTACAACGGCACCCTTCTCCGGTGCCTTCATCAAGATGAGGCCGAAGTCGCCATGGAGGAGGTGCACAGTGGCACTTGCTCAGCTCACCAGGGACCCTTCTCCATGTCCCGAAGGCTCATAGTTCAGGGCTACTTCTGGCCCACAATGGCTAGAGATTGTGCTGATCTAGCCCGAAGGTGCACCACTTGCCAACACTTTCAGAAGGCCCCCGGCAGACCAGCTGTCAACTACGCCCCCATCAGCACCGCTATACCCTTCTCTAGATGGGGAATTGATCTAGTAGGCCCTCTGCCGAGGGGTACCTCCAACAACAGGTACATCATCGTTGCCATTGACTACTTCACCAAATGGGTGGAGGCCGAACCCCTCGCCAGCATCACTGAGGCCCGGTGCCGCCACTTTGTTCTCAAAAATATCCTCACAAGGTTTGGCGTCCCCCAACAAATCATCTCCGACAACGGGACTCAATTCGAGGCAGCCCCCTTCTGTGCCCTCCTGGAGGCATGGGGCATCAAGCACGCTTTTTCATCCGTTGCCTACCCTCAGGGCAATGGGCAAGTAGAGAATGCCAACCGCACCCTCCTCGAAGGGTTGAAGAAGAAGCTGGAAGCCGAAGGGGGAGGCTGGGTAGAAGAGCTTCACAACATCTTATGGGCCTACCGCACCACCCCTCGGCGCGCAACAGGCGAAACACCCTTCTCCCTATGCTATGGCTTTGAGGCTAAGGCCCCAACAGAGGTGACCCTTCCGACCCGAAGGGTAGAACAATATGAGCCCGAGGCCAACGACGCCAACATGGCCCTCGACCTTCATCTCATCTCAGAACGCCGAGAGCAAGCTTTCCTCAGGGCCGAAAACTATAGGAGACAAGTCAAAGGCTACATCGACGTCAAGGTCCGCTCCCGGGAATTTCAGGTGGGTGACTACGTCCTCCGACGAAGGGAGGCCAGTCTACCCACCGAAGGAGGAAAGATGGCGCCCTAGTTTGAAGGCCCCTACATCATCTCAGCCATCATCAAACCAGGGACATACAAGCTTAAACGACCCAATGGGACGGAGGTCCCTAGACATTGGAATGTGCACCACCTTGTCAAATTCTATCAATAAGGCATGAGCGGCCAAGCCCTCATCCTGAGCAAGTGTAAATATCAATGGCCCAAGGCCCCATCTGTTTTTGAAGAATAATCACAAGGCCAAGCCTTCATCACCTGCATATTATACAAGAGGCCCAAGGCCCCCTCATCTCTTCGCCATAAAAGGC